ATTTGACCGAGATATGAGTGTTTCAAAACAAAGTATTTTTAGAAAAATTATAAAAGAATGAAAAATCTATGTTTTGAAACACTCATATCTCGGTCAAATCTCAATCAAAAGAAGAATCCGTTGGAGGTTATGCTAGTCTAGTGGTCCTCTACCAATGGGCAAAATATGAGCCCAAAATCTTGAAATAACTTGGATGACCCTCATTAGATGTTCCTAGAAATAGCTCCAGATCTCCCTCATTTAAGGTGAAAGTCAGCAATTTTCTTCGGTCAAAGCTGTTTTCTGACCACGTCCCAGCTAACTAGAACGAAAAAAGTCGATAAAAACCCTTTTTCCAAAAAGTGGTTGGATACCCATGGATTAACCCGATATAGATTTTTTCGGTATCAGGTTGTCTGTCAAAAATGTTTTGTCAAATTTATATACTGATCTAATAGTAAAATAGATTTTTAATTATTTATTTGATGCAGAGACAATCGTCGTGTTTTTTGATATAGAAAATAACTTTTTAATTCCTCAATATCAAATCTTCTCGATGATTGAAGAGTAGAAAATAGTTAGTCACAGCTCTCAGGCAAGATATTATTTTATTTCCTATTTTTGAGCCTGTACATTTATATTTTAATAGTAAAAAAAAACCTACACACAATTTTGTAAAGGTCATAAAAACATAGTAACAAAAATTCATATAAATAAAAAAAATCACTCAATCTGTACAAAAAGTACAAGCAAACGTTAAATAAAACCGGGATTAGTTATAAAATTCATTTATTTTTTAAAAATCTATTAATATTAACTGTTAAATACACCACCACCGCGATTTGACGAATTTCTATGACCACCTCGTCCACTACCACCTAAAAATAAATGAGAATAAAAGATTTATACTATTAAGTAACCATGGAACGTACCTCGTCCAGCAAAATTCCCCCGTCCACCACCTACAAATGGAAAATAATAATGTAAAAGATTAGCTAGTATTTGACGTTAAAGTATACCTCCTCCGCGATTTCCTCTTCCACCACCACCACCTCTTTGTTGTGATCCACCTCGACCACCTCTCTCATTGCCTCTTGATCCTTTATTTTGTTTTTCAACTGAATCTTCTTTAACCATATTAATCACTTCTTCGGGTAATCTCAAATATTTAATTGTATTTCCACGTATATAACATTCAGGAATTTTCCAAAATCGATCTCCATCCTAGAAATAGAGTGATAATAATACTTAACAGATACAAATTTTTATGAAAAACATGTTCACTTACACGTGATGTACAAATAACGTCTCGCAGATGAATGTTCATAAAATTATCACAACTTTGTAGATGGCCATTATAAGTTTCGCCATTTTTTAATTCAACTAACTAAAAAGTAACAAAAAAACAGTAATGATCGTAGGAATAGTCATGTCAAAAAAAAAATCGATAAACATACAGACCATTGGATGGTAAACAGCTGTACGAAGTAACGTTAATGGTAGCTAAAAAAACGAAATATTTCAATTATTATGACAATGTTTTCTTTCAAGCATTTCTTTTTCTCACCATCTAAAACAGAAGTGTAGATAGTTAATGATATTAGTTTTGCAATATAACTTTGTATAAGAGTGAATTTCTTTTTCTTCGGTTTAAAGCCGCGTTTATCACCCAAAAATATAATACTTCTCCTATTTTTAATCAAGCATTTGTCACGATCGTGATCAAGGAGATAGCATAACATTTCGGGATCAGTAGATAATATAGCAGCACACATGCAAACTAAAGCAACATGTCGAACAGAATGGAGTTGTTTTAAAATTTCTGACAATCTATAGTAGTGACATTCATTGAGGGAATTCACCATTGTTTCCTATGTTTTATATTGTCATACTCAGAACAATTACTGAAACTGTTTGATTATTTATCAACCAAAGAATTATTAATTGTTACATCATGTTTTTCTTCTTAAACATCATCAGTGAATGGACTGTAATATAATAGATTTTAGTTTTTAGAAATGCTGGTTGGTAAGTAATCAAAGAGTCTTGGCAATTGTTATGCATATGCGAATAAGACAAGGAAAATACCAGTGAATCCGTCAAATCCTCAGCATCAAGTTTCTTGTTGTATAACAGAATATTTCTTTTCAAAGGTGACGAACGATTACATTATGATATATTCTCTTACACTTGCTCTTTGTTTATTTGTTTATCTCACTGTTATCTTTGTTCAAATACGATATCTTATGTAAAACAGATAATTATATTCAGTTTTTCTCTCTCGCTCTTCCTATTGTTCTCGTTTTTCAACTAACTTCTCATATATAAACGCATGATATACGCAAAACTACGTAAGCATGTATATATATATATTAGAACCATATGTAGTTTTGTTTGATTGTAAATGTCTTTGATCTATACTGATAATGGGTCGATTTGACTCGAAAGCTTTGCACCATATTTAAATAAATAAAATAATATGTCTACCATATGAATAGCTCTATTCAAGCTACAAACAACAATTTACGTTTAACAACTGTTGCTGTCTAGTTTTAAATCATATATTTTCGTTGCTTCAGATTGTAAAAATAATGTTAAAAGAATTCCTTCTTGATCAAATTAATACTGATGAATTACTATAAATTATTGACGTCATTAATTACATTTTAACGAAAAAATAGTCTAAGATTTAGATTATGAATTTCTGTGTTTACATTTAACACTAGTCTCACAATACAGAGACATTACTAAAAAAATCAGTTCATTTGAATAAAATCGTTGACCATGCTCAAAATACAGTTTATTTTTTTTTTCCTTTAAATATCTGGATACAATAATATAATGCAATGAAATTTAATAGGTTTTCTTCACCTGTACAATAATTATTATTATTATTATCTGTATCATATTCTTTCATTAAGTGATCCATTTCTTCATCCATTGTCATATACGATGTTGATAGATAATAGCGAGCAATCAACCCTACAAACCTAGAGATCGATTTAAGTCAATAAATACTGATGTTTTTACAACCATTTTGAAACAGAGTGAATACTGTCGATTTGTGAATGATGCACATTTACAAAACTGTACGAAATTTTATTTTATCTTTTTATTCTAATCTGTAGTTTATAAAATCGAAAAAACATTGTGAAAGTTATACTGGAATAAATTCAATACAAAACTGTTTAACTGCTTCAGTTGCTCAGTTTTTCCTTTTGAACGAATACTTTAGATCAACTGAGTGTTGCAAATATTTTCATACGTGTCCATCAAATCGAAAACTGCACAAAAATTGATCTATTTTTATTTTAATATCCATGTTTCAACAATTATCTTTTCGCTAATAACAAAATATAAAACCAAAAATTTAACAATAAAAGAAAAAAAGACACGAAATAAATGACATTTTAAATGACGAGATTACCAAGAAACAATAAGCACGTTCAAAATTTTGACTCAAATTTCACCAGAAAAGAGGAACAACGAGAAAAGCTTTTTGTGTAAAACATAAGACAAGTGCATGTTTTAATGAAAATGAAGAAAATATCCATTATTTTTTTTCTCTCTGTGAAAGACAAAAACATAGAAACAAAATGTCTATATGTTTAAACTTATTTATTTATAATTCCGTATGGCCTTCTTCGAGATCGGCACCAAAATCGGTCACTTGACTACCGGAAAATGTTGAATAAGCATTGACAATTTCATCAGCCGAACAATGACCATTTTTATCTTTATCACATTCTTCCATTAAATGATTGGCTTCTTCATCCATTGTCATACTCGATGTTGGTAAATAATATCGGGCAAATTCTTCATATTCAGCAAAACCATCTCGATTCTTGTCTAATTCATCTGATAATACATCAGCTTGTCCTGTTTCAGCTTCAGTCATTTTTTTATATTCTTCACTTGAAATTTGACCATCATTATCTGTATCATATTCTTTAATCATACTATTTATTTCAACACGGCGTAAATCATCATTATCTTCTGGTCGAGTAAATTTATAAAATTCATCATATGTCAAAGATTTATCACCATCTTTATCAAGCAATTGCCATTTTTCTTTATCAGCCATGTATGTCTTTAAAAAAATTAGAAAAAATATATTGTTTGAGAATGTATATAACAAGTATGTTTATTCAAAGTTATGGATAGTTCCTTCTCACAATTTGCATTCAAAATTCTATACTAAGGCAACGAAAAAAATATCTACATTAACAAAAATTAATGTACGCGGTGATGAGAGAAAAAGTAATTGAAACAACAGTATTCAGATAAATATTCACCGCTAGTAATAGATATTTCAAAATTTTCTTAAGATCAAATTATATTCTAAATATCTCTATTGATCATGAATGAAAAAAACAACAACAGATTGACTGATTGCAAAAAAAAAACCGTAAACGAAAAGCTGAATTATGTTTTTTTTCCAGAGAGAATTGTCGCATAAAAAAGTAATAAAGCAAGATATTTCTAAACAACATGAAAAGATAATTGAATAATCTCACTTTCATATACTAAAATAATAAGTAACATTATGTTGTGCCTGTTGATAGAATAATATATACAACAATAATGTTCTCTAAGTCATATGTCAGAGTGACATTTCATCATGAGAAAAAGTGTAGAATATTTAAAACATAACTCATATCTAATTATGAATTAGAATAAAAGAAAAAAGTCTATTTCATTAGCGCAAAATCGACTTTTTATACGGGGAACAGAATCGGTCCAAATTTTTTTTCTGAAGAGCTTATTATGTGAATCGACGGGCAGCAAAGTATCTCTTGATTCAAATCACTTTTTACATTTTGGCGCGAATAACAGCGCGTTTTAAGTGGCGTCACTATTCGCGCCAAAATGCGAAAAGTGATTTGAATCAAGAGATACGTTGCTGCCCGTCGATTCACATAATAAGCTCTTCAGAAAAAAAATTTGGACCAATTCTGTTCCCCGTATAAAAAGTCGATTTTGCGCTAATGCTTACTCGTCTTGTTTCTCTTAATCTTAAGTCTGTATTATCCGTTTGTTCTAATTCGCTCATATCAGCATCACCATAATTATCACGAATATACGCGCTAAATGTAACTTTTTCTTCATTATTAGGATCTAAAATTGATACCAAATCTTGAAATTCTCGTTTTTGTTGATCTCTGTAAAGAAAAAAACACAAGCAATAGTAAGTAATTGCCAGTAATTGGTCTAAAGAATAAAAATATACCGAATTTTTTCTTCGACATATTTTCTCATTTCATCTTTTGAAACTTGTTGATCATTATTTGAATCAATTTTCGAGACAATTGAACGTAATTTTTCTTTTTGTTCGGCCGGTGTATCATCTGAATCTTCTCCTAAACAAAATAACTATGTTTAACTATAAGAGAAAAAAAAACATTTGTTTTCCTTACCGGTAAAAAGTTTACGATGCGAATCATGATCGTGCGACGAATGATCATGTGAATGCTCTTCGTGTTCAATATCGCCCGACGTAAATGAGATATTAATTATCAATAGACAAAATACGACAATGCTGAGGATTTTGGAATTCATTTTTGATTGACTCAGCTATCTACAAACAAATGGTACAGTAGTTAGCACGTCATATACGAAAACTAATGAAGAAATTACGACAAACTCTTAGCAACAAATAAATTATGTTATTGAAACCAGGCGATAAAACGACTCCATAGACATCAAAGACGTTTGACGTTATCGATCAAAACAGCGAACAATAACAGAAATAAAGACCCAATCAGAAGTACATAAAGGTCGAACAAAACCAATGGGGGTCGTATTGCGAAAGAACTTAAGTCATCGACTTAAGCCGTGATTTAAGTCTACGATTGACTTAGGTCCGGGGACTTAAACCGTATGAAAAGACTTCAGTTGGTGATTTGTTTGCTTTCTGAAAGTCATTGACAACAATGACAAACTTGGGACAAAAATCCGCCAACTAACGAAATATTTATTCTCTAAACCTTCTCTAAACCTGGCCGAATCGTATCGTTGAATGTCTGAGCTATTCGAAAAATGCGTTAATAACTTAAGTTTTCGGTCTTAACTTTAAGATTACATTTCCCATGACTTAAGTTTTTTTGTAATACGAAAGCCACGGATAGGCTTAAGTCTGAGTTGAGACTTTTCGTAATACAACTTTCCTCTGATTTCAGAAAATTATTATTATATGCAACCCTTCCTCGTTTTAGTCTTTCGCGATATATTCCATTTTTAAAACAGATTTGTATAAATGAAAATTAAATCATAAACGTATAAGTAGTACAGAATTGCTTTAAAAATAACAGCCTATGAAGTGTCAAATACAAACGGAAGCAGTTTTTGTAAGTCACTTGACCCTAGTGATCCAAAAGATGCAATCGAAAATGCTAGATATATAACTCTATCGCTCTTTAATGTGACAAAGCATATAATGGGTACTTACATCTAGTTAGTCGCTTTTTCTTATTCTCTCTTCATTCTTCAAGCCTGCATGCAAAATCTTGATTCATTGCGCATAGTGTTCGGTATGTTGACCATACAGCTAATCGAATTAGCTCATGCTTTACGGTCAAAGACGTTCTGACAGAGAACAAATCTGCTGTCGAGAGCGCATTAGTGCCTATTTCATTAGGTATAAACCCACAACATTTGCGAATCTGTGACAGTAAAAAGTAAGCGGTTGTTAACTCAATAATGCAAACGTTATTGATAGCTGATTGGATGAAGAGTGTAGCTAAGTACTGTTATTCAGGTCAAAAACTTAGAAAAACAAATAAAGGTGAAATAGAGGTGTACAGGACGACTCAATTTTGCGTCCTATATTCTGACCTATATAAAATTTTTATAGCCTGGACTTGTTTTGCTGTATGACCTCGATGTCCTTTTCCTATCTTGTCCTTGGAAAGTTTCTCAAATTGTGTTTATCTTTCACTGTTTCACTGCGGGCTATAATTTATTCAATTATGCTACACTGTAAAAAAAGCCGCACGTTTTGCCTGTTTCAACGCGACGGTTTAGCCGTCAGATAACCTTGGTTGTGAACAGAGTTGTCAGATGCTCAGGTCAGAATTTCGGAATAAAATATTTTTTACAACAACCTTACTGTTGCGAATATAACTTTTGTAAAAAAAACAACAGAATAAGATTAACAAATATTACAGAAATAAACATCAATAATTTGATAAGTATTTTAATATTTTAAATTAAATACAGATTCTAATTAGCAGCTCTCTTCATTTGTCGTTCTCGGTTTTTTTCAAGAAATTCGTCGTTTTTGAGAAACATTATTGTGGGAAACCCTAGTGAATGTACTTGCATGCAGGTACTTGGTCAAGTACCCTCGCAGGTTTTGTCCAACGTTCTTGAGCTTTCGCAAGTAAAAAAAGCACTTGAATTATTTTATATTCTTGTCAAGTCCTTTGCCAAGCACTTGCTCAATTAGCCCCCAAATACCTGTCGGAGATTCAACAAGTAAATCAAGTACCTGGTAAGTGCTTTCCGGCATTTATCAAGTAGTATTTTTTGAAAATACTTGTCAAGTACAAAGTGGAAATTTGCAAAGTAAACAATTACCCACTTGCAAGTGCATTCATTAGGAAAAATGGCCTCGCTGTGAGATGTATAATTTATTTATGTCAAAAACAACTGATCCCTTCAAAAAACCAGGAAGGACAAAGAGTTTCTTAATTAGAATCTTTTTAATTTATTTAAAATATTAATTAAATGAATTCAGTCCGGATAACATATATGCAAAGTACATAAACTAATCCGTTATTTGCATCAGTCTACATACCAGAAATTTCTGAGAGAAATAAATGAAACGTATTTTCTTCCACCATTCTTTAGCAAAGTGTGCCTTTTCAAACTCAAACCATGTCCACTGGCTATTTCATTCCCCAATACAAAATCATACAGAAGTTTGAAGCGTTCCAACTTGACATTTTTTTCCAAACAAACGGTTAAAACGTCATGGTGTCCTGGCGTTTTAACCATCAGATTAGCACTGTTAAAACATGCGGTATTTTTGCGGTGATGATACAAATCAATGTATAAAAACGGCTGCCACTTAACCAATCACATTACTTTTCGCTTTACGTTAATAACAAGTGTTATATGTTAGTGATTATTACCAAAGAAATTGCTGCTTCAGAAATCGTCTTATCTTTTCGCTCTACAGTACTCTACATCCTCACCCTGACATCTGGTCCTTTTCTGTTCTGTACATTTTTTTGACCTAGTTCTATCCTGACTGCAGATGAAGACAGGCCATCTCTGACATGTCAGTTATGAATTTGTATTTGTTCTTTTTTTCTTATTTTCTTTTAAAAAAAACTTTTTTACTTTCTTTTTTTTTTTCCTTTTTACTACTTCTGGTCATAACGTTAGCTGTCTTGTTTATTCTGTTCTTTTTTTACTCTTTTGATGTTGCTTGGCTTGAGTCATTGTTATTACAGGTCGTTGACATTTGATGACTCACACTTTTTGTGAATAAAACAGTCTTAGTCTTAGTCTGTCAGATTGACCTACATTTACATAAATCAAATATTAGCTCACAAAACCTGTGAGAAGAAAGTATCGTCGTAGTTTGCTCATTATTTCATATTTTTCAAATTTCTCAGCTTTTCCTGTTCACAGAAGGCTTAAAAATAGTCCATCCTTAGCAAAGTGTCCATCTAATCGTTACAATCTTAGATGAAGACTATATACATGCATTTAACTAGATTCTCGGAAAAAACATAATTTTTCAGATAATATGATCTGTTTCAGTTTTCGAATAATATTCTTATTTTTTTCAGTTTGAGATAAGAAATTATGGAAGCATTAGTACGAGAGAATATACGCAAATTAGAAGTGAAATTAAAGCCGCTGCTTCACGAGGGGCCGTTGGCTCCTTATTTAAATACACTTGAACAAAAAACAAAAGTTAAACGTGAACAACTTGCGTTGGGTAAGTAAATATCAGAACAAAAAAACAAATCAGTGAATTTTTTTACTGATATTTATTTTATTTTAGGATTTTTTGGCATTGTTTGCATCTATCTTATGCTCGGCTCCGCAGCAGATTTTGTATGTAACTTTCTTGGTTTTGTGTATCCTGCGTACGCCTCGTAAGCTGTTAAAAACTGCTTTACTCATAATGTAATGTTTGTACAAATTTTCTTTTTCTGTTTTCAGAGTGATAGCTATTGAATCACCTCAACACCAGGATGATACTGAGTGGCTAATATATTGGGTTGTTTATGGCACTTTTGGTTTTGCGGAATATTTTGGTCATCATTTCTTTCATTCACTTTGGCTTTATTGGTTATTAAAAGTATATATGCCAGAATATTTATCTAAAACACCTATGAACGTATTTTATTTTAGTGCGGATTTCTTGTATGGCTCATGGTTCCCGGTCAAAAAGGCGGTTCATTCGTATTATATCATCGATTTATTCGTTCGTTCGTTTTGAAACATCGACCAGTAGTAGAAAAGTATATGAAAGTCGGTGAGTATATTAAGCCAACATAAATATAATTTTCAAAAATCTTACCTATATTGATGTTAGAAATACTCTAGATGCTGTTAAAATTCTTTTTTACAATTAATACTACTATAAATGCATCTACAAAAAGATTAGCTATAAATAGGAATATCAAGTAGAGAGATAAGTCATTGAAATAAATATATCGCTGCTGTTTCTTATGATATTTTGTTTATAACTTCATAGCACGTAATAAAATCTCTTTGTGTCTTAAATATAAAATATTTTCATCTTGTTTTGTTTTTAGCACAATGAAGATGAATCAGAAATATTCTTGCCAAAAAGTTTTGATATATCTAATTTAGCTGATTTTCATATCATAAACAAATTTAAAATTTTTTATTCTCTTATCTGCTCTCATTTTATTTTTTATTCTCTTAACTGATCTCATTTTACTTTTGTTTTACTTTATTTAAAACAATAATGTTTTTTTTTGTTTTTTTTTATTATGTAGTACTAGTTTTTTTTCTAAAACACATTTTACAAACCGATTTATACTTTTCATCATTATTATTAATATTTTTTTATATTAAAATTATTTTTTGTAGTGCTATCCACTTTTTATATTCATTCCATTTTATTATTTTTTTGTATTATGAATATTCTTTTGTTTTTTGTTTACACAATCTTCTATAATACAAGACATTCTACGTCTCTAACACGTATCCAAGTTTATGCATCCCCATTGTCTGTTTGTTTGTATTTTGAATTTTTTTAAGGAAATTAGCCATAAGGTCAATAAGCATAAAAGTAAGATAAACATGTGATGATACACAATATATGAGCAACTTCAATTCAAAAGATAATACATAATATACAATTAACTAAAAATCATTGGATGCTAATTCATTTGACATAAATTTTTGTTGTTGCTTCATTTAAAATTACCTTTCCTCTCTTTTTTGAAAAGAATTTTATTGCCATACATATTTTGTTAAGAGCTTCTGAGGAAAGTCACGTTCGTAGTACAACGTCTCTGGTTCAAATATTTACTCTACATAGCCTGGTTACATTGCAAACCTCCTAAAAATTTATCGAATCGATCTCGAAATTTTATCCAGGTATCTGAGATCTGAAATAAATATTTTTTTGGGCTTTGACTTTTTTCTGAAACGAATAAAAAGAAGTTCTACAAAAACTAAAGATGTTGAATTTAAAAAATCCTATAACTCAAGAAAATACATTTGAGATCTAAGATATCGTAAAATTTTAAATTTGTTTGGATCGGATTTATTAGGAGATAATTTTCATCCATGACTGCCTATACATTTTCTTATTTTTAATGCGTAGACATGCGTTATGAACAAATTCAACACTTGAGATGGGAAGGAAGAAAATTTTAATGCACAGGCATGGTTCGTTAAAAAAATACCAAGTTTTTTCAAGAATATGACTACATATACAGAAATATTGAATAAGTAAGATGAACAATTATTATTTTATACAACATAATCTCCTAACGGATGGTCCGTAGGAATGGGTCACTTTTTGTTTTTGATTTTTCTCACCCATATTTCATTCATTTGAGTTGATTCATACATCACAAGATACGTCTTGAAATTCTCTATAAAAAACATATGGAGTATTTTATTACAAAATGTAAACATAGACTGTTACACGAAAAGCACTAGAAATCTTTGAAATAATCAACTTTTTAACTGAAAAACCAGTTTTACTGAGTGTTTTCCTTTGACTGTTAACATATAGAAAAATCGAACTAGCGATTTTGTAGCGCTAGAAAAGCTATATCGTCTAACTAGAGTCAAAATTCTGCCACAGCGAAATTACATGAAAATTTTTTTCTTTTTACTCGTTTTCACAAAAATCATTATTTCTACAGAAAAGTTTCGCACCAGTGCGTAAAACTGACATAACTTGTACAAAATCCGACCTTTTTTTTTTTTTTGACTGGACTTAAGCTCCCTTTTCCTCCTTGCTGAAAATACTTTAAAAAGTTGGTTATTTCAAAGATTTCTAGTGCTTTTCGTGTAACAGTCTATTTTTACATTTTGTAATAAAATATTCTATACGTTTTTTATAGAGAATTTCAAGACGTATCTTGTGGTGTATGAATCAACTCAAATGGATGAAATATGGGTGAGAAAAATCAAAAACAAAAGTGGCCAAGTCAAGAAATAGTTTGGTTGTTTTCCATTTAATTAAAGAGTTTTTAATAGATACATTGCGGACAACAAAGCACGAGACTTTTATTCTATGTTATTTTTACTTTTGAAGTAAAATACATAAGTTGAGATAGATGTATCGTTGGACGCTAACTTTTTTTTCACAAGAAAAATGTTATATTATACTCCTTACCCGACGGCATAATTTATTTTCTCGCATAATTTTTGCGCGATGCTTTTTTTTACTTCCTTCACATACATACGTCAGTCTAAAAGAGAAGTCATTATAATTTAAATTCCACTAAAGTGTATCTACATCATGGTTTGCAACATAAAATCCAGACCAGCTTCAAATAGAACAATGCTGTTGATTCCACCCATTCAAAAACATTTGTATTAACCAGTGGATCAACGAAACCCCGCTCAGCACCAGTCGTTTGTTGAAACAGTTAATTGTCTTAGTTTACCAGTATTCTTTTTCAGTTTTCTTTTTAGAACTGAGCAGAACACGCTCTAAAAAAAATCGTTTTCTCAGAAACTGGAAGTGGTTCGAAAACTCCTTCAGAAACCCTTTGGGGTTGTAGAACTGGAATACGAAACCTTTGGGAATTTTGCAAGTGACTTGGGAAACCGAAAGGATATTTTAGAGTGCAGTAAAGGGTATCCGAACTCTCGAAAACCCAAAAGATTTTTGAGCAAAATGTTCGCAAACGGGAAGGTTATCCACCGGAACTGAAGAGTATTGTCAGAAACCCTCGTGGAACCTAAAATTTCTTTAAAAACAGGAAGGATATCCGAATATATCCTTTTCAGTTTTCGATAATATCCAGTTCGATATCTGGACATTTTTCTACAAAACTCTTTGGTTTTGGAATTTTTTGCGTTTCTGAGAGAACCCTTTGTTTTAAGTTTTTTCATCTATGGAGCAAAGTTCAGTTGCATCACAAAAAGCAGATCGTCAGAACATCTAGGATTGTTTAAAAATTCAATGTTGTTTTGTGACCACCCTCCTTCCTCTCACTTAACTTCAACGGAACCTGCAGTATATATGTTGCTTTCTATTTTACTCAGTTTTGTCTTCGAGAACCGAATGCAATGAGGGATTTTGCTTCGATATCTCGAGTACACAGCAGGTTCTCGTTGTCTAGGGTTTGCTAACATAAGATCGGACGGGAGTATATAGCAAAGATAAAAGTTTTTTCGCACATTTATTTTCGTTAGCTAACTAACGAACTGCTGACATTATAAAATAATAGCGAAACGCAAAAACAGAATTGGATGATTTCGATGTGAGTCATGATGACAGTAATCAACCATTACCAAGAAAATCTAGAAGAGTCGTAAGTCCCAGAAAGAAAAATTGAATTTTGCTTTTTGAATTAGAAACGTTAAATTCTTTCTGGCACATTTCTCTTCATTTTTCAAGTATTTACCCAATATTATTTTGCCTACATTTTTTGATTCAGTAAACCATAGAAACTAGTAGAGAAGGCTTTTTTGGTTGGCATACGAGCAGCTTTACTCAGTCGATATTGGTTTATCATGTGTATATATCCGATTTTTCCACAACTGTATTTTTCTCGTTTTTAGCGTATAGCACTTTATTGTTGAAAAAAGATTGATAAAAATAGGAACAAGTATAGGTGATAAAACCAGGGACAACTTAGGTAAAGGGAATATCATTTGCTCCGTCTCAGTTCAAGTGTTCTAGCTCTAAACACTTTTGGAAGAAAACTTATGCCCTCTAAAGAGCTTCTCTTCAAACTTGAGCAACAACTTTTACTTTTTTCACCAGCTGCAGTCTAACAAATAATTGAAAAAAACCCTATAACTACCTCAGAAGGGTATTCCCTAAGGAAATGACTATCTTATTTTCGAACTATGCTAAACAATTTGTCTCTTGCAAAAACTTAAGTAGAAATGCAACTCTTACTAGGACATGAAATATCTCAATATATCTCCCACACACACTCTGATGTGCACAGAGCATCAGAGTGTCCTACTCATATCACCGACAAAAAATTAAAGTTCATTTAGAGTTAAAGCAAAGTGCTTTTTCGTATTCAGCACACTTGATAACCTGGAAAATTTTCTATTGTTAGCGAGGGGTACCGCCAAAAAGTTTAGAAAAATTTTTAAAATTGTTTAATTT